TTTTTAGGAAAGGGTCTATGGAGTGTTCAGGGTCTCACTACTAGATCAGACTCATAGTGATCTGCCTGTTTACAGCCTCTCAAGAGCTGGGATTATAGGCATACCACCATGCCCAGCCCAGTCTCAATTGTCGTCTCAGCACGTCCCAGGGGTGGGGCCAGCATGGCAGGCCTGGGGATCGAACTCCTGGCCCCTGCACCTGCTTACAGGCTGAGGCACTTTTAGCCACAAAAAATACCCACCTAAATATCTAGACTTTCTAAATAAAATCATCCAAAGGAGATGATCACAGTTCACATTACAATGTTCTTGATCACTGTATAACATGATGATGAGAAAAGATGAAGAGCAAAGGGGATCTTCTGATCATTTACTGCCAGACAGCAAACTCTTTCCTTTATAATGAACTTATTCTTGGCAGAAATGTTGTAAGAATTAACAAAGAAATATGTGGAAAACATTCTGGGCTCTTTGAAAAAATGTAAACTCTACGAATCTGAAGGTGTGATATGCTTCAGCTCTCACTCTGGGATTTGGTAGCACTTTTCAACTCTGCTGATGTAGAGTTATTTGTGCTCAACAAAGGGAACAGGGGTGGGATGACCAGGAACAATCACACATTCCTTCACTCAATTTTTCTCTGCTTAAGTATCAAGCTGATCATAGTGCTGCTCATTTTTATGTATCTAAAAGTTACACTGACTAACTATGAATAGTTCTGTATGGCTGAATGGGGGCATCTAAAGAAATTCTTCCCCATCTAGCTCACAAGTACAAACTGACCTTTTGTTTGCCACTATAGTCACCTTCTGTAACCTCCTTCTTAGAGTTCCACATTTTTAAAACCAGTTCTTTTGAAGGTTGGAGACCAACCCACCCTACACTGTGGTCCACTTCTCTAAATTATGAAAATATCTTCTATCTGATCGAAAGAGAGTCACCTGAAATAGAAATGAAGATCTATTACTTACCCACTTGGGTCTTTACTTACTAAGCTACACTATAATGGGCCTAATGTTAATCTTTAGATTTAACTCAAAAGTACTAAAACAATGACCTAATGCCTAAAGCAGAGGTCATTAATATTTTGCTGATGCACACTCCTATCTAAAATAGAATATTTGTCTTTTATATGCATAATTTGTATATATGTATTTATTTGCTCTTTATAAACTATGTATGGATATATGCAGATATGAATCTGCAAAATAGTAATTATATGATTAGGCTGAGATAAAGAACTTCTACTAATGTTCTCCATATCTCAGAAAATATACATGTGTCCTTATCTAGAACTGCTGATTTAAAGAAATTAATTTATGCTAGCAGTCTGTACATAAATGGATGGACTGACTGGGAGGAGGTCAGTAAGATCTCATTTTTATCCCCTGCTATGGCTCCTAAGCAATGATGTAAGGTAAGGTCATTACTCACTGTAACTGTAAGGTCATTACTCACTGATCCTCTATACCTTAAGGGCCATATCTCGGAGATCCCTGAAGAAGCATCACAGAACACACATTAAAAGGCATGAATTCTACTCTTGAAGAAACTAAGGAGAAAAATGACCAGAACTCCCACTACGAGCAGCCTTGCTGACTACAGGACACAGAGGATGGTGACAAAGACCACTCGTGGGCTCAAAGCAAATCAGGAAGCTCCATCCTTGAGAGTCAGAGCCAGTGTTTAAGGCTTGCTGGCAAGCCAGCTTTAGGAGCTTTTGAGGCACCAAAACACGTTTCTTGAAAGAAAAAATACAGCAAGACAAACTTGCTAACCTTTAGTGTCCATTCTGAGAAATCGCAAACTTACTCAGCTTTCTAAGGAGATAATTTAACACTGTATTAACTGCCTTCCAAACCAAAAATTCTCATTCTTTTTCTAGTTAAGATTATGTATTCAAGGGGCCGGAGAGATGGCTCAGTGGAGTAAGTGCTTCCCTGGCAAGGGCCTGAATTCAACCCCCGGTTCCACAAAAAAAAAAAAAAAAGATTATGTATTTACCTAACAAATGTCTAGAAATTCATGACTAAGAATTTAATGACTCTTATCATTTCACTTATGTACATCTGAAGATACAACTTCTCAGTTCCTACCATAACAGTGACATGCAAGACAGAATATGGTCACCACTAATGAAACTGGGTATGCCAATGAGTGCTGGTATCCTAATTCACTCTTCCTTCTGCCTAAAATACCTACTACTGATGCATTTACAATACCATCTAATGGGTGTCTACTGTACTCACATGATCTTTAATAATTACGTTATAATAGCTTTGTGAGCTTACATATAATTGCTTTCCTTATCAGTCCTATCAGTCTTTACATTCTACTTCACCAATAAAGAAAAAATGTTGAAATGTTAACTTAATTTAAAAAAAAAAATCACACTTTGTTAGTGGCTGAAGCTGGGCTCTGAAATTAGATTTTAGACCTTGCATTTTAGAAGTACTTAACTATGCTGTATTTCCAAATACACGCTATATTTTTTCCAGACTTCAATGATGTATTTTTCTACAGTTATAGAAAAAAATAATTACAAAATATGTGAAAAGCATTAACAAAATATAGCAGAAAACAACAGGCTTTAGGATTTTCAAGAGTCATGCTCAAGTCGTGGCTCCATTACTCAGCAGTATTACATCAGAAAATACATTTAAGAGTGCCTGTTTTCTCTACCTGTAAAAGAGCATAAGCATCTTGCAGAACTGTTCTGAAGATTAAGTGAACATGCATATAAGTACATTGAATGGTGCCTGGCAGTATGGAAGCAGAGAGGGGAAAACCGATCTACCTAAAAGACAGAAACAAATACATGATATTCAGGGCAAGTTCATTCCATTTTCGACATCTACACTCAGTGTATCAGTCAGTCTCTTCCCCAAACTTCTCAAGACGACCCAATGTGCTCATGGTTCTCTTCTTGAGAGCAACCTAAACAGCTGAAAGTACATCCTCTTCTGAGGCCAGGACAAAAGAAAAAAGAATGTGTGCACTGTGACTATGAAATACCGGAGTGCTCTGAAAGTTTTCAAGCTTGTGGCTAGAGGAGGTAGGAAGCTACGTCCAACTTCCCACTGGCTAATCAAGACCATCTGTGTTACTCCAGGGCACAAATCTCTCTCATCTTCCTCTTCAGACAAATCTGGTGCATGCTCATTGGGAATAGGAGCAATGGATTTCTGTCCACACCCCTCCCACACAGCATCATTTGGAGTGAAGAGTAAAATTAAAAGCTCTTTAACAGTCACTGCTTATATGTTACTCTGAAAGTGCTGGACAGTTAGGTCTGCTTGAAGTGTTTAACACCAAATAATTAGAGGCAGCTAAATCAGGTAGAAATTAATACATATTCAGTCAGGGAGGGACTGGGCCCTCAAAGAAGTCAGCACAAAGGGACATCAGAATTGTGGCTGTAGGCAAATCTGAAGACAGCCAGATCTCAAGAAAAAGAAGCAACAACAAGGCCTCCAAGACTCCCTAAAGATCAACACTGACTTGGAATTATGCTGTAATTAGAACCATCTCATCCAGCGGTGCACAAAGACATCAGATGCACAGGCAGCTCACAGAATGTCTGGGCCCATATTCCCTTAACCTTCCCAAGAATTCCTTTGATCTTTTCGTGTGTCCTTGCTATGTAACTCATTTCCCTACTGGCTCAATATGAGCTATGCAGCTATCTTTAATCCTATAAGTTGATTACAATTTAACCCACATCACACTCCTCTTGTGATTTTTCAGTATAAATGACCTCTGACAAAGGGCCTCGTTGGCCACCCACATAGGACCTCTTTAAAAATCCAAGAGCTATTCTTTTCTTAATAAAAAAAAAAAACTTTCCTAACCACCTCCATTGGTTCACAACTTCCTTCCTTCCTTGAGGTTGTAAGACCAGGAGCTCTGTACATCTGACATCTAACAGGAATTGTACTTTTCTTATACCCGAACTCCGAGTATTGAAAGGAGTTAAGGTTTCAGTAGGAGTCATACATGGAAACAATTATGCTATTTCTGTTGAGGAGCTTGGTGGACCTTTTAAATTATGAAAAAAATTTTGACTATGACCTTTAGACAAACAATATAATTATTTGGCTCTTCCAAATATAATCCTTGAACTACTTTGAACAGCAGGTAGAAAAGGCAAATATTGTTTAAAGTAAATTAAGCTACAGGCTAAGGAACAATGGGCCTTAAGAGTTTGCTCGATCGATCAATCGATCGATCGATCCTCTCTCTCTCTCTCTCTCTCTCTCTCTCTCTCTCTCTCCGCGGTACTGGGGACTGAACTCTGGATCTTAAGTACTTTTTCTCCTGAGCTATCTCCCTGGCCCAAGGGTACTCTTTAGAGAGCTATAAGATTTATGGCTTCATGTTTAATAAAAATGTTACATGCACAAAGATTTTGGGGCAGACTCCATACATCTAAAAAAAGAATATTTCAGCACATCCCCTGACTTTATGATGACCAAAGAAAATAAATTTTCCCAAACTATAAAATACTATCATAGTTAAGTTAAAGCAATGATTTTCTGTAACCTTTCATCCTTTAAGGAATTTCTTTTTAGCAAATTCAAGATATAAGACAGCCAGGAAAATAGCTCAGTAGCATAAGCACCTGCCTGGGTAAGCACAAGGTCCAGAATTCAATTTCTGGCCTGTGTATGCATGTGAGCACATGCACACAAGATGAAAAAGACACTAGCCACATGTTACAAACTGAGACAGTCATCTGCTTTTTATGTATGTTTCATGTTAGGGTAGTAGAGAAAAAGGTGCATTTGATGTTCACTTTCTTGGGTTTAAACCGCAATGTGATTCAGTCAAACTGACCCCTAAGAACACTACACTGGCCTCTGCTCACATTCCATTCCCAATACCACACACAATATATATAATTTCCTAAGTGATGAAAGAGATCAGAGAATACCCTATGTACAATTTAAGTTCAATGACTAATTTTTGTGAAGTCAGGGAGGATGAATTCACATACATACCTGTACCACAGGACCTTTTGGTTGGTGTGACTAACGAGACATGAGCTGTGTCTGTGCATGGCCCACCTAGAACAGAAAGGCAGGCACATCAGTCACATAGCCTCTATAGCAGTACCTACTCTGACTAAAGAGAAATCTGAGGAAAGAACCAACTTGTAAATTACACGTAAGGAAAAGTAGCAGGAAAGATGGTAATGATGGGTTTCTTCTAAGGATCTAATTTTGGTTCAGCAATTTAGTCTACGGAGATCCAGAATATTTTTTACACTATACCATAATTTTCATAAAAACTATCATACAATTAAGGAGTTAAAAGGCAAAATAATTAATTAGAATTTTGGGGCAATGAGTTCTTCCACAAAGTAAAAAATAAGAATAGTCCTTATTCTGATCTCAGTGGCCACTCTACCTTTCAATTTATCATAACACTATCTCCGAAGGAATAACAAACTGCTTGTCAGAAGAAACAATGATCATATTAGTATACAAAGAAAGCACTGATGGCAAAGCAAGAGAGAAAACATGGCTACGTGGCATGGCTGTACATAACCAATGGGAAGACTTCATATCACTAATGTTACTGAAAAGGAAGAAAAGTGAAAGAGCTCTAAGTACTGTTCTAGACATCCCATGTCTAGCTCGCTCTTTTATACATCAATAGTGGGCACAAGATGACACAGCAATGATTTTCAAGGGAAGAAAACCCAGGTAAGCATGCTGCTAGCTTCAAAGACTACTTAGCAAATGTCTACTCTTTGTTGCCATGATTAATCCCACAATCACCCACTTATAATCTTACTAGGAAAAAAAAATTTATATACTTATTAGCAAAAAGCAATATATGACAGTAATAAATGGCTAGATGGAAAATGATCAAGAGCTAAAGGACATAGGACAGGTAATAAACACTATACGTAATGAAGAAGAAAAGAAGGCTGTTCGTTGGTTGGTACTGCCTCGAAATGTAAGAATTTGAAAATGGAGCAAGAAACAGGGAAGTTTAGAAAGGCCAGAGAACAGGGTATTTCAATTGAATGTTTTCTGCAATGACATTCACTAGCTACTACGACTCCAGAGGTTCCAACAGGCAATTATGCATGAAAATAGACAACATGAACAGATAACAAGCCACATACAAACCTAACACAGAACCCACACACTTAGTCTCCCCTAGGCACTGGCTTTTACAGCTCCATAAAATGCTATATTTTCTGCTTCCATGTTATTATGGGGATGTGCTGAGGATTGAACTCAGGGCTTCCTGCTTGCTAGGCAAGCTCTGCACTGCTGAACTATATCCCTGTCCTTCATGAAAGGTTTTTATTTTGTTCTTATTTTTGGGACATTACAGACTTTATAGAAGATGCAGTTTAGCCAGGGCAGGTGTGGTGGCACATGTCTGTAATTACAGCACTTGGAAGGCTGATGCAGGAGGACCATAATGAGTTCAAGACCAGCCTGGGCTACATACTGAGTTCAAAGCCAGGCTGAATGGCACAGAGAGACCTCCCCTCTTCACAGATATATGTTAAGCCCTGAGTCTTACTGAATGATCTTGAATAAGTAAACAGTCTCTTCAAAAAAGAATGGGAATAGTAACACTACCAATATGCCAGAGGGTCCATCGATCACGCATACAAAAGTTTCATAAACTGTTAACTTTTACGTAGAATGTTTTTGCTTTTCCACCAATTTTGTATTTCCAAAAATTAACACATATTTTTTAACTGCTCTTGGGTCACAACTATGTGGTCAGTGGGTCCTTAACAACACTTATTAAATGACGGCTGCGAAGTATTTGGTTTAACTAGGAAAGTGAGCTACATTTTAAAAGAGGTTTTAATAGAGGCACAACATAAAAGGGATCAAATACAAATTGGGTATTTGAAGAAGCCTAGAACCAGAACAGTGTCAGACTTCAGAGCTGAATTTTTTAATATTTACATATACATAGTAAGGTACCATGGGAATAGGACCTAAGACTAAACATAAAATTCATTTATTCTTTATATACACATAGCTTAAAGATAATTTTACACAGCATTTTTAGTGTGCTTAAATCACATGAGGATGGTATAGAATGTTACACTTGTGGAAGCATCACAAGGTTCAGAAGTTTTTAATTTTGCAGCATTTTGATGTTTGGGATTAGAAAAATTCAACCAGTGGTAGAATGAACTGCACAAATCTTAGCATCCAAGTGATCCCTCTCTCCTCTCTCCTCTCCCCTCCCCCCATGACCCTTGGATAAAACTGTTAAAATATTTCCTAAACCCAGAAAGTACTGGGAATGACCTAAAATACAGATTCCCAGGCTGTGGGTCTGGAAATTTTGATGCAACCAGTTAAAAGAGGGCACAAGAGATTACAGTACATTTCCATCTTTTTAAAAAAAAAAAAAAAAAACAACTAGAAATCAAACTCAGGACCTTGCACCTGCCAGGCAGGCCCTCATGCCGCTGACCTACATCCCTGGCCCCTACAACATTTCTAAACCAGCTACACACTGTAAATATCAACAGTTGTGTTAGCCCCTGCTATCTGATAACATTTTCTATAAACTCTAGCTCAGTATCTGGACAGATCACTGAGTTCCTGCCCAGAGACAAAAGTCAACTACACACAGCACAAGTCTGTGATAG